ACAACATGTTGGATAGTTATCATATAGACCAGGGGTCTCCAAACGTTCTGAACACAGTGTCAGTTTACTGTCCTTTAGACTTCAGGGGGGCCGGTCTGTGGCCATTGGGAGTTGAAATTGTACTGGTGTCAGTGGGAGCAAACAATGCATCTTTGGTATTATGGGGGGGGGGGGGGAATAGTGCCCCATTTCTGGTGTCAGTGGTAGAAATAGTGCTCTTTTTTAGTTTGAGTTCCTCATCATTGGTGTCAGTGGGAGGAATAGTGCCTTGTTGTTGGTGTCACTGGGAGAAATAAGGCCCCATTGTTGGTGTCAGTGGGCCCCATTGCTGATGTCATTAGCAGGAATTATGCCCTATTGTTGGTGTCAGTGGGAAGAATAGTGTCTTGTATCAGGGGGAGGAAAAGTGCCTCAAGGGCCAGATAAAGGCAAGCAAAGGGCAGCATCTGGCCCCGGGCTGCAGTTTGGAGACCACAGATACAGACCAAGGGTTCCCAAACACCTCAGCTGGTAGACTTCTCTGTGAAATTTCAGATTGTTCATTAACCCCCAAAGAGCTATTATATTAAAATGAATTAATAAAAAATAATGTAAACATTAATACAACCAATAATAACTTTATAAAATGGGTAATATTTAAAACATAAAAATATAACATTTAACATACATTGTTTTTACTGAAACTGGTAATATCATTAATGGGGCAGTTGCAGATAATGAGTGTCAACAAAGGCACTGATATTGGATTGAAGATTGGTGATTTCATTCATTTAGTCACCACTCTCTTCTAGGTTCAGTCTGTTTCTCTGACTAGTTAGAATTTAGCCATTTGCCGCCCACAGTATATTTACAGCAGGCGGGTGGCAGCCCCAGACTAAGTGGCGTATGGGTACATCGGGTCTATCTTCCTGGTTTTCGGGGTGTGCTACACTCCCTGCTGATCTGTTCTGTGAGTTGCCAAAACACGAGTCTTTCAGCAGGTTACAGCCAATGATTTTGGCTGTATACATATTATTATGTATCATTATTATATTATATATTATTGTATGCTTTAGATTACCCCAATTTGTATCTGCTTGCACCCCAACCCGCTCTTATACAAATGTGCTCTAATACCAAATAACCAAAAAAACTAGATTTCTTCTTATATATTCCAAAGGTCAGGGTGTGCTCTAACCTAAATCATGTATGGTCAAATATCACATTTTCAATTAACTGTTGGGGAACTGATCAACCAAATTGCATGATGAATTGTCTGAAATACACACTACATCACGCAATTGAATGAAATACACACTACATCACGCAATTGAATGAAATACACACTACATCACACAACCAGCCTGTCGGATTTTTTAACACGTGACGTTACTGGTGGCTTGATAATAACAGAGTGCAGCGCTAAGAGATACGTGCAAAAAGCAAATAGTCCGTAGTTGTTAACTGGATATAAATATATAGTCCCAAGAAATAACTGATGAAGACCAGGAAGCAATGGAAAGAGTGCGCACTCACCGGACGCGCATAGAAAATGCGCATAAATGGATGTCTCCTGGAATCCTAAAGTAGATGGAAAGGGTGAAATCCAATCTTTGGATCAATCAGCCTGGGAAGATGTATCAGAGATCCGGAGGTCCCCTTAAGGTTGGTATGATTATCAGCCAGACTCCAAGAACTCCGTTCCTCTGGTGGTAATAGATGAGCACTACAGGGATCCTGCAAATGGATTTAGCTCCCAATGGGAACCAAAAAACAGGTGCCCATAGTGTAGTATTTAAAATGGATTTATTGAATAAAATGACAAGCAGGGTAGTAAGGCTGTGTACAGTACATATATGAAAGCAGAGTACGCAGCAATGATACTGACCCTGGATTAAAATGGCCGCGGGGCTGTCTCGTGGCTCCGGGCAGAAGATGACGTCATGCTCTGTCGGTTCCTCCTAAGGCCTTTCGTGCCCAAGCACATCATCAGAGGGGATACCAACCTTGGTATCCCCTCTGATGATGTGCTTGGGCACAAAAGGCCTTAGGAGGAACCGACAGAGCATGACGTCATCTTCTGCCCGGAGCCACGAGACAGCCCCGCGGCCATTTTAATCCAGGGTCAGTATCATTGCTGCGTACTCTGCTTTCATATATGTACTGTACACAGCCTTACTACCCTGCTTGTCATTTTATTCAATAAATCCATTTTAATTACTACACTATGGGCACCTGTTTTTTGGTTCCCATTGGGAGCTAAATCCATTTGCAGGATCCCTGTAGTGCTCATCTATTACCACCAGAGGGACGGAGTTCTTGGAGTCTGGCTGATAATCATACCAACCTTAAGGGGACCTCCGGATCTCTGATACATCTTCCCAGGCTGATTGATCCAAAGATTGGAATTCACCCTTTCCATCTACTTTAGGATTCCAGGAGACATCCATTTATACGCATTTTCTATGCGCGTCCGGTGAGTGCGCACTCTTTCCATTGCTTCCTGGTCTTCATCAGTTATTTCTTGGGACTATATATTTATATCCAGTTAACAACTACGGACTATTTGCTTTTTGCACGTATCTCTTAGCGCTGCACTCTGTTATTATCATTCCGCTTTTTATGGGTACACTGTGATTACCTTTAGTGCTAGCTGCTTGGTTCAGAGCGCTCACTTTATGCCATTCTTATCCGTTACTGGTGGCTTGTTTTAGCCACTAGCAGTGCTCATTGTGTTCTTCCATCAGGCTCCCCACCGGCAGAACACAAAAGCTCCATGGGAGGCGGAATTGAGCAATTTTCATTTCTGCAACCCATGGTTGCATGAAAAAAAATCTGGTCATCTACAGCTTGCCTTAGCTTGATGGATTTACTTTTTTTTTTTATTTCTTACTAAAGAGCACTTTTGATTGACATCAAAATGGGATTATAGAAGATTGTTTCATACAATTAAAGTAAGAAATTGCACAAAAGAATGGCTTGCGTTTCGTTTCAATGGTGCTTCTATACAGTTGCTGTTCTTTGCACTATTCTTGAGTAGAAAGCTTTGCTGTAAACTATAATAAGTTTTGGGAGATTTCCTTGACTTTTTTTCTTTCCAGATGGAGTTAGAAATGCACATAATCTGATATATGTGTATAATCACTTTTTCCATTGCAAAAGTTGATGTTTACCAGTAAATGTTATTTATAGAACAGCATATGTGACTGATAATTGATGGCAGTCATTACTTCATTGAGTCATGTGACTGATAATTAATGGTCATTAGATTGTCTCATCCCCACTAGCTACTATTTGTAGCTGCTATTACATGGACATATTTTGGAATGTTTGTAGGAATATGACCTTTGTAGAACACCACTGCAGACAGCCCCAGTACAAATCAACAAACTTCCCATGGATGCTGGTAAAGCAGCAATAAATGTCTAATTTGTGGAAGAATAGTTGTGCCTCAGGGTACACTAAGATATGTCTGATAATTTCCTTTTACAAAGCAGTTAAATTGCCTAGGAAGTTTCCTTGGTTGCCCCCCAGAGGATTTACCCCCTTTCCTGACCAGGCCATTTTTTGCGATACAGCACTGCGTTACTTTAGCTGACAATTGCTCGGTCATGCAACGCTGTACATAAATGGAATTTATGTCCTTTTTTCCCCACAAATGGAGCTTTCTTTCTGTGGTATTTGATCACCTCTGCATTTTTTATTTTTTGTGCTATAAACAAAAAAAGACCGACAATTTTGAAAAAAAATGTTTTTTATTTTTTCGCTATAAAACATATCCAATAAAAAAATTTTAAAAATCAAATTTCTTTATAAATTTAGGTCAAAATGCCAAAAAAAATCCCAATAATGGTATATTAATTGGTTTGCTTGCAAGCTATAGCGTCTACAAATGGCGGTATATATACTGGAATTTTAATTTAAATTTTTTATACTAGTAATGGCGACAATCAGTGACTTATAGTGGGACTGCGGAATGTGGCAGGCATTCTGACAATGGGTGGGAACTGACTGCCACTGACTTCCCCTGTGACACTAATACAGTGATCAGTGCTAATAAAAAGCACTGACACTGTGCTAATGACACTGGGCAGGAAGGGGTTAACATCTGGGGCGATCAAAGGGTTAACTGTGTTCTGAGTGTTTTACATTGTGTGCTGTGTGTATTTTACTATGGAGACATGCTGCTTTGTAACAGCATGTCCATGCAGACAGGAGAGAGACCTGTGTTTCACAGGTTTCACAGGTCTCTCCCCTGTCAGCTTTGCTGATGATCACAGAGTGCCTACCGGAAATTGCCGGCCAGTACACAGTGATTGACATCCCCAGCTGCCAATAGCGGCGCGGATAGGGCGGCACGTGCCCCCTATCCAGAAATGCAAGTCATGTATATATACATGATTTTGCACAGCCGTGCCACCCTAGAGCAGTACTTGTGCTATAGGGTGGAACAGAAAAGTGAAAAAAAAAGTATTAATTTTAAAGGGTTAGTTCACCTTCACCAAAAAATCGCTGAAGGAAAGGTATGGGTGTAAATAAAAACAAAATGTGCAACTTTGAAGGTTGGATAATGCTCTTGCTATAGCTGTAGGCTATGTACATACCTCCTAAAGCTTGGCCAAAAATCTTCCACAGATGCTTCATCCCATCCTGCTCTGTTGCTAGGACATTGCTATGACACTCCCAGCAGTTACTCTTCACCCCCACCATCACAGGAGCATGCTCTTAATCCTCATAGTGTGGTCCACTGTCTCCTCCATTGCAGCATCGCTTTGCTCAGAACTATTGAGGTGTCTTAGCAACATCCTAGCAATAATGCAGGATGGGATGATGCCATCTCTGGGAGTTTTTCAGACAGGCTTTGGAAGGTACATAAATGACCTATAGGCCATGACATTATTTAACTTGACAGGCGCAAGGTGGTTCTCTCATTCTGGGAGGACGTCATATGACATCCTCCTATTCTCACTGCGCATGCATGGCTCAGGGAACGTGCAGCGTGGCGATCGGCGGTGCGCTGTGTCCCTCAGACACAGCGGATCACTGATCACGGAAAGAGCCGAAGATGTTGGCTTGGTCATGTGATCGGCTGTGTCCAATCACAGCTGATCACATGTAAACAGGGAAATGCTGGTTATCTGCATTTCTCTCCTCTCGAGCTGTCACACTGACAGCTTGTGAGGAGAGGAGAGCCGGTAATCGGCTTTCTGCGGAGGGGACATGTACACTGGTCATCAGGGCACTGATGATCAGTGTGCCCTGATGATCAGTGTAGCCCCAGCAGTGCCACCTGTCAGTGCTCATCAGTGCCTCGTGCCAGTGCCCATTAGTGCCACATCAATGCCACATATCAGTGCCCATCTGAGCTGCCTTTCAGTGTCACCAATCAGTGCCAGTCAGTGGCACCTATCAGTGGCACCTATCAGTGCTGCCTATCAGTGCCAGTCAGTGCTGCCTATCAGTGCACATCAGTGCCGCCTATCAGTGCCTGTCAGTGCCGCCTGTCAGTGCCACCTAACAGTGCCAGTCAGTGCCGCCTGTCAGTGCCGCCTATTAGTGCCAGTCAGTGCCGCCTTTCAGTGCTGCCTATCAGTGCCATATATCAGTGCCATGTATCAGTGCTGCCTTTCAGTGCCCATCAGTGATGCCAGTCAATGCCCATCAGTGCCACCTATCAGTGTCCATCAGTGCAGCCTATCAGTGCAGCCTCATTAGCGCACATCAGTGAAGGAGAAAAATCACTTATTTACAAAATTTTAGAACAAAAACTAAGAAAAAACATTTTTTTTCAAAATTTTCAGTGGTTTTTGGTTTGTTTAAGAAAAAATAAAAAACCCAGAGGTGATTAAATACCACCAAAAGAAAGCTCTGTCACAAAAAAATGATAAAAATTTCATATGGGTACAGTGTTGCATGACCGCGCAATTGTCATTCAAAGTGCAACAGTGCTGAAAGCTGGAAATTGGCCTGGGCAGGAAGGGGGTATAAATGCCCTGTAGGCTTTCGGTTAATCTGCAAGCACCCCTTGCCTGCATAGGCAGTTTTTTGGTAAAAGTGAACTAACCCTTTAAAATCTGTATATATTCAGAAGCAGCTATGATCATATCTAATTTACTTTTTAGGTATTTCTATTCAACACAATGTCTAATTTCAGTGTGATTTTTTTTTTTTACATAGGCATATCTCAAGCAGTTTGGATATTTACAAAAACCACTTGAAAGTGACAGTGAAGAGTTCAGCTTGGAGGAGGTGCAAAAAGCTATAGAGTAAGTTGTCATTCAGAAGACATGTATAGTATTGCCATTCCAGAGTGATGATCCGGTGTGGTGTGAATGTCTATGACACTTTCCTGCAATTAAAGCAATGAGTACAACAAGCTTTTACAAAACATTTGCAGAGCTTTTGGCACGCTTTGTTGAAGTGTCATTCAGCTCCATTGGGAATGTTAACAGATTTTAATGATGGTGCTGACAGTCACTTTAAACAAGTTGTTAGCAGGTTTCAGTAAGCTTCAGCACTAAGGCCTGATTTACAGTAGCAGTTGAGGGGGGCATAAAAACATGAGACTGAGCAGTGCTTATACTGCCTCCCATCCACTCCCCCTTAAGCTGATAAAAGGTCAATGGGCAGCGGTGAACATATGCCACAGTTAAAGTGTTACTAAAACCACAACAGCAAAATCAGTCTGTACATGCAGTAAATCATGCTTGTTATACTCACTGTGGAACCTAAGGGGTTATTCCACGGCATTGTGTAAAAAGGCTGTTTGATCCTGTCTTCTCTGGTCCTCCCCTTCTTCCACAGTCCCCAATTAATTTGCTGATAGAACAGAACCTTGGGGGCACGCTGCACATGCTCAGTTTGGTGTGTATTGCTAGAGAGTTTTTTCTTCTTGGGAAAGTGCATGTGATCAGCGCAGGGCCAATTAGCTCTGTCCAGACAGAGGGTCAGGGGTCCTGCAGCCTCATAGGACAGTCAGAGGAGAATGAAAACTCCTCCTACAAGATTTAACCAGTGCTCTGCTGGACACTGATAGAAGTTACAAGACTGCTCTAACTGCTGATGAGAAAAGGTATTTAGCAGTTTATATTTACTAAAATAATTGCACTTCCATGTTCTGTGTACTATGGGAGACCAGATATAGTGAATGCAGGGTCCTGGGTTTAATAACACTTTAAGGATACTTTGCATCGCGGTGCAGCAAAGTTTATCCCCACGTTCGTACTCGCTGGGCAGAACTACCCATTCAACTAAATGGGGCTGTGGCACAACCTTGTGCAATGCAGACTCCCACTATACATATTAGCAGCCCCCAGTGGAGCTTACTGAAGCAATACCAAAGTAAGGGGGCTATGGCAAGGGGGCTCCGGAACTGATGTCGCTCTTTGTTCCCGTGCAATGGAGAGCCAACAGCGTATATATCAAGAGCTTTCAGTGGAACTTAAAAAATCTATTGCGGTAATACCCAAGTAAGAGTGATAATGATAGTAATAAGGATTAATATACAGTTGCAAGAAAAAGTATGTGAACCCCTTGGGATTACGTGGAGTTTTGCATGAATTGGGCATAAAATGTGCTCTGAACGTCATCTAAGTCACAACAATAGAACACAGTCTGCTGAACATAATACTACACAAACATTAGATGTTGCCATGGTTTAATTGCACATAACATGTAAACATTTACAGTGCAGGGAGGAAAAAGTATGTGAGGCCGTAGCTTAATGACTTCTCCCAGAGCTAATTGGAGCCAGGAGTGAGCCAACCTTGACTCCAATCAGTGTGATGATATTGGATGTGTTGCTGACAGCTGTCCTGCCCTTAATAAACACACACCTGTTTTGGGTTTACTGGTTTCAAGAAGCACTGTCTGATGTGAACCATGCCTCACAGAAAAGAGCTCTCAGAAGAACTACGATCAAGAATTGTTGACTATTGCATGAAGCTGGAAAGGGTTACAAAAGTATCTCCAAAAGCCTTGATGTTCATGTGTCCACGGTAAGACAGACTGTCTGTCTGGAGAAAGTTTAGCACTGTTGCTACTCTCCCTAGGCGTGGTCGTGCTGTAAAAATGACTGCAAGAGCACAGCGCAGAATGCTGCATGAGGTTAAGAAGAATCCCAGAGTGTCAGCTAAAGACCTACAGAAATCTCTGGCACATAATAACATTTTTGTTGACACATCTACAATAAGGAAAACATTAAACAAGAATGGAGTACATGGGAGGACACCACGGAGGAAGCCATTGCTGTCCAAAAAGAATATTGCAGCACGTTTGAAGTTTGCAAAAGAGCACCTGGATGTTCCACAGCACTACTGGCAAAATATACTGTGGACAGATGAAACCAAGATTGAGTTGTTTGGGAAGAACACACAACACTATGTGTGGAGAAAAAAAGGCACAGTACACCAACATCAAAACCTCATCCCCACTATAAAACATGGCGGAGGGAGCATCATGGTTTGGGGCTGATTTGCTGCCTCAGGGCCTGGACGGATTGTTGTCATTGATGGGAAAATGAATTCCAGAGTTTATCAAGACATTTTGCAGGAAAACATACGACCATCTGTCCGCCAACTGAAGCTCCGCAGAGGATGGGTGATGCAACAGGACAATGACCCAAAGCATACAAGTAATTCAACAAAACAATGGCTGCAACAGCACAGAATACGCCTTCTGAGGTGGCCCAGTCAGAGTCCTGACCTCAACCCGATTGAAATGCTGTGGCATGACCTTAAAGAGAGCGATTCACACCAGACATCCCAAGAATATTGCTACACTGAAACAGTTTTGTGAAGAGGAGTGGTCCAAAATTACTCCAGATCGTTGTGCAGGTCTGATCTGCAACTACAGGAAACATTTGGTTGAGGTTATTGCTGCCAAAGGAGGGTCACGCAGTTATTAAGTCCAAAGGTTCACATAATTTTTCCTCCTTGCACTGTGAATGTTTACAAGTTATGTGCAATTAAACCATGGCAACATCTAATGTTTGTGTAGTATTATGTTCAACAGACTGTGTTCTTCTATTGTGACTTAGATGACATTCAGAGCACATTTTATGCCCAATTCATGCAAAACTCCACGTAATCCCAAGGGGTTCACATACTTTTTCTTGCAACTGTATAAAAAAATTAAACCATGTCTTAAATCTGGCTTTTAGCATGTCTTAATGAATATTTGTTTGTTCTTATTCCATATAGAGCTTTCCAGCTTGCTTCTCAGCTGCCTGAATCAGGTTTAATGGACAATGCCACTCTGGAGAGGATGAGGCAGCCACGGTGTGGGTTAGAAGACCCATTTAACCAAGTTACGCTCCGGTATCTTCTCTTAGGTAAGATACATCTATAGACATGGATTACCTCTAAGGTGGGTGGTAGTTTTTCCCTCCCATGTTCTATATTTTGTTCTGTTGAAGCTATTTTTTGTGGGCTCTGTTTTTTTACTATGTTTTTCATTACTGTACTTTGATAATTCTGTAAAATTATTCAATAAATACATTATGGACAGGTTCACTTTAAGACAAAAGAGCAAAGTGCAGCCTACCCCATCATCTGAACCTCAGCCCCCTAAATGCAGGCCTGGTCTTAAGTGGATAAATATGTTTTATGGTCTTTGCAGGTAGACAAAGCAGAACAAGTATTAAAAAAAAGGTCCCTGGAACTATCCAGTATTATATGGAACACATAACAACTGCAGAATTCTGGTTCTCCTTAGCTTTTCATGCTGTCCCTGGAATTCATCCAGACTTTTTATTAAATAAAAGCAGAAGTTCAGACTGTCCTGCCAGGAAAATCAAGGAATAGTCAGCTAGTCAATGCAGTTAGTGGGGCCCCACTAAGCTCAACATTAATGATTAATATTTCATTGTATCTTAGAAAAAGTTGATTAAAACATTATTAGGTACACAAGAACATGGATTAATTTTTACATGCACACATTTAAATTGAAACTTTTGCAAATAATTTTATTGGTTAGTAGTGTGGGGATAGTTATCTCACCAATGTTGGCACTGTGAGAGGAATTGAAGAAGAATCTTCCAAACAGTGACAAGAAAACCTGACAGAGGTCCTAATGCCTTCCCAGTTTTACTTCACATGCATCAGATGTTCTGCTTTGGCTGGAGTTCCACTTTACATCCCACATTTCAGAAAGGCATATAATCTATAATTCCATATCAATCCTGCCAATTACAATTGGGAAGTCAATTGACCAATATCTACTCTATCTATCTATGGGGATAGATAGATAGATAGATAGATAGATAGATAGATAGATAGATAGATAGATAGATAGATAGATAGATAGATAGATAGAATTACAGTAAATATATAGAATTATTATTATTATACAGGATTTATATAGCGCCAACAGTTTGCTCAGTGCTTTACAATATAAAAGGAGACAATACAGCAACGATACAGTTAAAGACAAGAGGGATAGGAGGGCCCTGCTCCTTGGAGCTTACAATCTAAGAGGGAGGGTTGGTGGTACAAAAGGTAATACCTGTGGGGGATGAACTGATAGGAGGAATAGAGGATTCCGTTATTAGCTGAAGGCGGGATAGGCTTCCCTGAAGAGATAGGTTTTCAGAGATTGCCTAAAAGTAGGCAGAGTAGGCGATAGTCAGATAGATTGAGGTAGAGAGTTCCAGAGGATGGGGGAGACTCTGGATCAGTCCTAGAGATGAGCATGGGAGGACGAGACAAGGGAGCTAGAGAGCAGGAGATCGTGGGAGGAGTGGAGAGGAAGGTTTGGGTGATATTCGGAGACAAGATTGATGATGTAATTTGGGACAGAGTTATAAATGGCTTTATATGTTTATTGTTAATGTTTTGAATTTTATACGTTGGGCAATGGGAAGCCAGTGGAGGGATTGGCAGAGAGGGATGGCAGATATGAAAGGTTAGTAAGGTGGATGAGTCTGGCAGCAGCATTCCTGATAGACTGAAGAGGGGATAGCCTGCAATTAGGCAGGCCAATGAGGAGGAAGTTACAATAGTCAAAACGAGAGATAACAAGGGAGTGAATAAGTTGCTTAGTGGTTTCCGAGGTTAGGAACGGGCATATCTTGGAGATGTTGTGGAGGTGAAGTCTACAAGATTTGGACAGTGATTGGATTTGGGTCTGAAAGGACAGATGGGAGTCTAGGATTACACCTAGTACCCTGGCATGAGGGGAGGGACTAATGGATGTATTATTGATCTTGATGGAGAAGGCAGGGGAGGGGGCACAGGCTGAAGGATATAGTATGAGCTCCATTTTGGAAAGATTTAGTTTGAGGAAGTGGAGTGACATCCATGCTGATATGTCACTTAGTAGGTTAGTAATGTGAGATGAAACTGAAGGGGTGAGGTGAGGAGTAGAAAGATAGATTTGTGTGTCATCAGCATAGAGATGGTACTTAAAGCCATGGGAGTTTATCAAATGACCAAGGGAGGAGGTGTAGATGGAGAAGAGGAAGAGAAAGGGTCCAAGGACAGAACCTTGAAGGACTCCTACAGGAAGAGGAAGTGGAGAGGAGGAGACAGAGTTATAGGTAATGCTGAAGGAGCATTGTGATAAGTAGGAGGAGAACCAGGAGAGATCAGAGTCTCGGAGGCCAAGAGAATAGAGTTTTTTTGAGGAAGAGGGGATGGTCAACAGTTAAAAATCCACAGACAGGTCAAGTAGTAAGCGTACGGAGTAGTGGCCATTGGTTTTAGCAGTTAGTAAATCATTAGTGAGCTTTAGTAGGGCAGTTTCAGTGGTGTGTAGTGAGCGAAAGCCAGACTGTAAAGGGTCAAGAAGGTTGTTGTCAGTGAGGTAGGAGCTCAGGTGATTGTAGACTAAGCGTTCTAAGAGTATAGAGGTAAACAGGAGCAGGGAGATGGGTCTTAAGTTGTTCAGGTTGGTGGGGTCCAGCGAGGGTTTTTAAATATGAAAGTGATTTGTGCATGCTTTAGAGGGGTGGAGAAGGCACCTTTAGAGAGGGAGAGATTGAAGATGTGAGTGAGGGGGCAGGTAGTGAGATGGGCTTCTGAGAAAACTAGTGACCTCTTCAGTAGTAGCAAGGTCAAAAGAGGAAAGTGTTGAGGTAGGTTTAGTATAAGGTATGCTAAGTGGGATAGATGTCTGTGTAGCGGAGATGCCCCTAGGAATTGCATCAATCTTGTTTTTGAAATGATTTGCAATCTCGTAAGCAGTGAGTGAGTTACTTGGTGGAGGTGGAGGTGGAGAAAGTAGAGAGTAAAAAGTAGAGAAAAGACGACGAGGACTGGATGACAAGGTATTAATAAGAGTGACAAAGTAGGCTTGTTTGGCAGCATAGAGGGAGGAATTGTAGGATAAGAAAGCAGATTTATATAGGGTGAAAGCTTGCTGAGATTTGGTTTTATGCCACAATCTCTCCAGTGCACGGCTATGTCGCTTAAGATTTCTGGTGTTGTCAATCTGCCACGGTTGTAATGGTCGGGGCCTGATACTTCGTGTATTTAGAGGACCAAGCGAGTCTAATGCGGATGAAAGCGAACTGTTGTAGACAGCAGTGACCAGGTCAGGGCAGGACAGGGGAGAGATTCTGTCATACAGGCAGTCAGTTGCAGAGTGGAAAAGAGAAGGGTTTAGGTTGTGAAGGTTTCTGCAGGTAATTGTTTGCTGCTTGGAGGGATAAGTGTTTGAAGACGAGGACACTGTAAAGGTGATGAGATTGTGATCAGAGAGAGGAAAGGGGATGTTTGTGAGGTTGTAGGGAGTGCAAAGTTGGGAGAAAACAAGGTCTAATGTATTCCTATCAGAGTGAGTAGAGGACTGTATCTATTGTGTTAAGTCAAAAGATGAGGTTAGGTTGAAGAATTGGGATGTAGCTGGGTTGTTCACCTTAACGGGAATGTTAAAATCTCCAAGAATGATAGTGGGAATATCAGAGAAGAGAAAGTAGCCTAGCCAAGCAGAGAAGTCATCAAGCGCGACACCAGTACAGGAAGCCGGTAGATCACTGCAATCCTCAGAGAAATGGGAGAAGACACCCGAATGCAATGAGTCTCGAAAGAAGAGAAGGATAGATAGAGAGGGAGGGTTAGGGAGGACTTGAAAGGTGCTCAGTGGGGATAGAAGCAAACCAGCCCCATCTCCTTTCCGACCACTGGGTCTGGGTGAGTGTGTCCAGAGAAGTCCTCCATCGGCAAGTGCTGCAGAATCTGATGCTTGAAGCCAGGTTTCTGTAATTGCTAGTAGGTTAAGGGAGTGGGAGACAAAAAGGTCATGGACAGAGGTGAGATTATTACAGACAGAGCGGGCATTTCAGAGTGCACATGAAAAAGGGAGGGTGGTTTTTTAGGAGCATGGGGATTGAGATTAAGTTGAGTGGATTGTGGTTATTCCCGGAGGAAAGAGGGTGCCTAGGGTGGGGGTGAGATACTGGTGGACCAGGGTTTGGGGAGATATCCCCACAAATTAGGAGAAGGAGGGCGAGGAAAGTAAGTGAGTGCACATGCCTTCCTGTCCTGGTGTTTGGGTCAGCAGGTGAGTAAAGTTTTAGCAGGAGGTGATGAGAGCAGTAGTCAGGAGATGGTAGAAGTGAGGGTGATATGTATAAGCTTTGGGGTGGAGCAGAGGGGTAAAAGGAGATTTTGAGAGCAGAGGATAGTAATATGAAAAGGAGGAGTAGAGGGGGCACTTTAAAAAGGTAGATGGAGCGGGAATCAAACTTGTAGATGTTTCCAAGGGTGTTTGCAGTCCATCCAGCATGCAGTAGAGTTCTTTGTAGAATTACAGTAGATAGGTAAAAAGATAGAATTATAGTAGATAGATATATAGAATTACAGTAGATACTGTAGATAGAATTATAGTAGATAGACAAATTAGATTATAGGATTATAGATGATAGATTAAAATAAAGGATTATGGAAGATAGATAGATAGACAGACAGACAGACATAGATAGATTGATACATAAGTAGATACTGTAGATAGATAATACTGCACAGTATTTCTGTTAGCTAAAGTGTAATGATGGTTTATAAGATGTTTGCTTGTCTTCTTACTGAACAGGTCGATGGAGGAAGAAGAACCTGACCTATCGCATATACAATTATACACCAGACATGCCAAAAGAAAAAGTGAGGGAGGCCATTAAAGCAGCTTTTAAATACTGGAGTGATGTTACCCCTTTGAAATTCAGGGAGATCGACTACGGAAGAGCAGACATACGGATATCTTTCCATCAGGGTGGTGTTGGCTGTTCACGACCATTTGATGGTCCTGGTAGGCATTACCTTTTTTTAATAATTTTTACCTGATAGCAAATGCTTAAGGATTAATTTACACCGATGCAGTGGGACTGCGTCAGGCAGCTATTCCAACACAGTTCCTCCGTATAACGAGGCAAAATGCCTTGTCTCCTGTCTGCCCATTTCACTGCGAGCAGTGTGCAATGAAAAAAGTATTGCATGCAGTATTTTTCTTCACTGCAGCACACTGCAAGGCAATCCACCATCTCACCTGCGCAGCTGGCAATTAAACTTAATGAAATGTCTCTGTCAAATCTCAATAAAGTTAATAAAAAAACAAATAGTAAACAGTGCGATGCGCCCATTGTGATGCATCTGCTGTGCAGCAATCCTGCTGGACCGCACCGCACACCAGCTGCTACAATGTAAGGCAGTGGCTGGTGTTAATTGTCCCTTAAGGGTCAGATTTATGGTTGAAAGCAAGTGCCACCTCTAAGAAAAATTCAGTACTGCTTTAAAAGGGTAGGGCCACATTAATAATGAAGCTTACTTGTGGGTTTGCAAAGAATACTGCCTTCTCACAGCAATTAAACAGATTAATTTTTTTAAATCAATATGGTGAAAATGACAATTGGAAGCTAATTGGTTGCTATAAAGGAACACAGAATAAAGTAACATTTATAGAATATTGCTAAATTGTCCTGAATAATCCCGGGCAGGCATTAATATGTGACTGTGCAGTGTCCAACGCAGTATATGGCCTGTTTTGGTAGCCCATGGTTTAAGCTACTGGAGGTATGCCAATACACTCAGATTTGTAAAAAGTGATTGTATTGTGAATTTAACTACATGTGTTAAGGGCTGCATGTTTGAAGACAGACCTTGTAGCTCCTCAGATATTCTAATAAAGGTCAAGAGTGATTATATATGTTTAGTTCTATTTGTTCTGTTTTATGTTAAATAAAAGCAGTTTGTACATATGCCAGTCACCCATACCTTTATGACCACCCACTTAATACTGAGTAGGTCCCACTTTTGCCACCAAAACAGCCCTGTCCCGTCAATGTATAGACACCACTACACCTCTGAAAACTCATTGTTGTGTTCATCAAACCATTTTGTGACTATTTTTGCAGTCTGGCAGGACACAGTATCTTGCTGAGAGAAACCATTGCCATCAGAGAATACCATTTTCACTGAGGGATGTACATAGTTAGCAACAATGTTTAGGTAGGTGACACATATCAAGTAACATCCACATGAATGGCAGTACTCAAGATTTCCAGCAGACCATTTCCCAAAGCATCACACTGACTGCGCTGGCTTGATATCTTCCCATACTGCATCCTGGTGCCTTCTCTTCCCCATATAAGTGACTCACACACACCTGGCTATTCATATGATGTAAAAGAAATTACGATTTATCAGACCAGGCCACCTTTTTCCATTGCTTTGTGGTGCAGTTCTGATGCTCATGTGCCCATTGTAGGCGCTCTTGTCTGTGGAGATGGGTTAGCATGGGCACCCTGACTGTTTTGTGGCAACACATCTCCATACACAACAAATCCATTTTTTCTGCTTTTGAAACATTAACTTCATGGACAACATGCTGACTAATATATCCCATCAACTTTCAGATGCCCTTGTAACAAGATAATCTATATAACTTATTTAACCTGTCAGTGGTCATAAAAAGTATGGCTGATTAGGGTATAGTCTGATGCATAAACACCATTACCTCTTCCTAGACCCAACTACCTGACGGTCTTAGGCAACATTATTTTGACCCTTAACCCATTTGCTCTTTGATAGTGGGAGATTTCCAGGGTGATTATGCTGCATCTAAAAGAATGGTTTCCAGGGCAAAGTTGGTCAAGATCTAACGGGTGGATCACTATGCAAACTAGGGGGGTAGTTTGATTGGAACGTATCTGTTATTCTTATGTTTCTTACTTTAAGTTATTCTTATGTTAGTGCAGACCATCGTGTCTATATACAGTATAAGACCATTTTCTAGTGTATATTTTTGTAGTAAAGGTGGGAAATTTGATCTGATAGTTGTGTCACAAAATTTTCATAGCTAAAAACCAAAGCATGGAACTCACCTTTGTCAGATTGTGTGATAGGAACTGTTGTCACATATCACCAAATTCTCAAGATATCTGCAAACAACTGTTTTTATTGCAGGGAAAGTCCTGGCACATGCTGATATTCCTGAGTTGGGCACGGTGCATTTTGATGAGGATGAAGAGTGGACTGAAGGATCATATTTTGGTGTCAACTTGCGAATCATTGCGGCACATGAGCTGGGGCATGCACTGGGTCTGGGTCACTCTCGTTTTAGCAATGCCTTGATGGCTCCTGTTTATTCTGGATATAAATCCAACTTCCGTCTTCATGATGATGATGTAAAGGGGATGCAAGCTTTGTATGGTAAAAATTGTTTTTGTTTTTAGCTGAGCTCTAGTGTGCTCTGGAAAAATGCAGATAAAGGCCTTTTTGTACACACCTCGCTGCTCTACACTCCTGTGCTTGGTTGGAATGTGAATACAGCACATAGAAAACAATTGTTTTCTATGTGCCTTAGCTGTGATCTGCATTGTTCTTATGCAGAAAAAATACAGGTCACTGTATAGGAACTGTATTGACGTGTGTGGGAGCACTGCAATGCAGGCTCTTGGGTTAGGGATGCCACTCAGAATGAATGAAAGTGCAATACCCCTAGTTTATGCATTCTCATTTACACAGCATACCTATCAAAATGAAATCGGAAATGTCTTACCTTTAAGTTATTTCTAAGGAGAAGGTGTCATGCCTGATTCTAAGGCTTGCCATACATTATACAATTTTCTGTACAACTTTCCTTTAGATTTACCAAAACCATATAATATGAGGTCAAACCTAAACACAATTCGTATGCAATTAGGCAGGCCCTTGCACTACATAGTTGAAGGTAAATCTAAAGGAAATTGAAGAAAATGGTTTAAGGCAGTGCTTCTCAATTATTTTCTGTCATGCCCCCCCTAGGAAGAAGAAAACATTTTGCGCCCCCCGCGCGACTGTAAATAGTATCATTTGTCTATAATATTGTTATAAGTACACCTCTGCATAACACTGTATCCTTATTAACGTATAAGAGAATAAAAAAAGAAAGAAATGTGGATCAATTTACAACAAAGAATAGCTTTATTAACTGTAGCAGAAAAGATTTAAAGTGCATTAGAAATTCCAAAAAAATTAAATCCTTAATTAAACTATAAACATTTTTTGATTGGACATGTCAAACCATATGATACTGAAAAAATATATAAAATCAATAAATAATAATGAATTCAAACCGATCACCAACATTTACTTAGGACCTAATCATTGGCGCCCCATCATTGGTGTCAGTGGGAGGAATAGTGCCTCATTATTGGTGTCAGTGGGAGGAATAGTGTCCCAACATTGGTGTCAGTGGGAGGAATAGCATCCCATCATTGGTGTCAGTGGGAGGAATAGTGTCCCAACATTGGTGTCAGTGGGAGGAATAGCGCCCCATCATTGGTGTCAGTGGGAGGAATAGCGCCCCATCATTGGTGTCAGTGGGAGGAATAGTGTCCCAACATTGGTGTCAGTGGGAGGAATAGTGTCCCAACATTGGTGTCAGTGGGAGGAATTGTACCCTGTCAGTGGGGAGAGGAATAGTGCCCCATCGTTGGTGTCAGTGGGGGGGAGGAATAGTGCCCCATCGTTTGTGTCAGTGGGAGGAATAGTGCCCCATCGTTGGTGTCAGTGGGAGGAATAATGCCCCATCATTAGTATCAGTGACACCAATGATGCGGCACTATTCCTCCCACTGACACCAATGACACTTGCTGACCCCTGTTGCAGTATGGTGCTGCTGCAGCCAGCATATGTGGTTGCAGCAGCACCTCTGCACTGCACACTTACCGGCTTTTCCCTCACTCGATTTTCGTGGGTCCGCTTGGCTCCGCCTCCTCGCCCGTGATTGGCCGCCTGTGTACCTTTCCTGAGCTACAGTTCTGGCGGCCAATCACCGGTGAGGAGGTGGAGCCGAGTGGCAGGAGTGAGGGAGTGGCCGGAGTGACGGAAGGAGCAGCGCTTCCTGGATGGATCATCGTGGGAGCCAGGTAAGAGACAGCAGCCCTCTGCCCACCCCTGTACTTAGTGTCCCTTCTGTCGGAAGGGGGGGGGGCGGCAACGCGCCCCCCTTGACGGAGCCTCGCGCCCCACTATTTGAGAAGCACTGGTTTAAGGTATGGCCAGCTTAAGAGTTTCTGGAGACTCTCACAGTGTCTTTGTCCCCACACAGACCTCATTAACATACAATGCAGGAGGGTGGTGTCTAAACATTTAACCCTTTGATGGGAAAGACTGCTTTTAAATCTAGTTTACAACTGATAATGAGGAACTACAAACACAGTAGAGAAAGGGTTAATTAAGTTAAACAAACAGCTCCCCTCCTAATCATTACAAAGTGATGAGATTAGGCAGAGATTTTTAAGCAACTAAAAAGCTCTTAAAATGGTAACCAGCATTTTTTATTTTATTTTTTTGCTCTATGTTAATGAGAATATGTAACAAATATAAAGGTAGGCATTGTCCCAAATTGGCTGCATAAGTGGAAATACATGCTAAATTGTTACTAAACCCACAGCAGTCAAATCAAACTGTATATGCAGTAAAGCATGCTTGTTATACTCACTGTGGAACTTAAGGTTGATCCTCTGCATTGTGTAAAAAGGCTGTTTGATTCTTTATTCTCTGATCCTCCCCTTCCTCTAATGTGCCCATTTCATCCCCTGATAGAACAGAGCCTTGGGGGCAAGCTGGGCATGCTCAGTTTAGTGCGTATTGCTAGAGAGTTATTTTTCATTGGGTGGGTGAATGGATCAGCACAGGCCAATCAGCACTGTCCAGACAGAGGGTCAGGGGTCCTGCATTCTCATAGGACAGTGAGAGGAGAATGAAAACACCTCCTATAAGTTTTGACCAGTGCTCTGCTGGACACTGATAGAAGTCACAAGACTGCTCTAACTGCTGATAAGAAAAGGTATTTAGCAATTTATATTTACTAAAATATTTTCATTTCTATGTGCTATGTACTGTGGGAGATCTGATATAGTGAATGCAGGGTCCAGGGTTTAGTAACACTTTAAGTTTGCTGTGGAAAAAGATACCAGAATAGAAATCCTGGTTACATAAAATGGGGCTTCAACACCAAACTAATTTTAAAAAACCCTTAGCAGTAAGGCTTTTAGGGAAATGTAGACAGAGCATGTTGGGTTATAATCAAAATGTTTTTATTGTGTCCCTATTAAAAGGCCTCTGTGCCCAAATCATGCACTACAAAGTAAAGGCATGTGTATGTAAAGTATTACAGTGAAGTGCTCACTACTTATTACTTTTTTAAAGTTTAATTATTGTACCCTGGTAATTATCCTGACACATAGCAACCAACCTGTGTTGCTTAATTGACCACACTGTTCTCAATACCACACACTGTTCTCAGTAGCACCCTTAGCGATTCCAACAAACAGTGAAATCAGCCAGCCTTCCACCTCCTACTCGCTTCACCTCTCCACATATTTTTATTTTTTATTACAGGTACTTATATAGCGCTGTCAATTTATGCAGCGCTTTACACATATATATATTGTACATTCACATCAGTCCATAACCCTCAAGGGGCGTACAATCTAAGGTCCCTAACTCACATTCATACATACACATACTAGGGACAATTTAGACAGGAGCCAATTAACCTACTAGCATGTCTTTGGAGTGTGGGAGGAAACAAGAGTACCCAGAGGAAACCCACGCAGGCACAGGGAGAACATGCAAACTCTAGGCAGGTGGTGCTCTGGCTGGGATTCGAACCAACGACCCTAGTACTGCCAGGCAAAAGTGCTAACCATTTAGCCACTGTGCATATAGACTTCTTCTCTCCTGCTATCTAGGTGCACTTAAAGTTTAACTTTTTTTTGGTGGGGGGGGGATTGTATCTTTTACCCTAACAGTGATATAAGACTCACAGTTGGTTATTTTTTTAAGGTAAAAATGACAAATATGAAGAGAAAAAGCCAGTCACAACATTAGCACCAGCTGTTCCAACCCCCACAGGCCCAATGCCCGATCCATGCCACGATGACCTTGATGCTATAATATTGGGTAAGTAGGCAACACTACACAGTGTAAGATTTTATTGTCAACCATAAGTCATTCCTGTTGATGGGCCTCCAAAGGAAGCTTAAAACGAATTCCCACATACATTAGATAGTGGTCTGAAGATTTTGGGTCAAACTTTTATTCCTCTATAAAAATACTTTAAAGATCACTCATGTGAAAAGTTTTTTGTTAGACAAACATCACCAGAAAATCTGTGAAGTCTCAGACTAAAGCCGTTTTTGCACACGAACCTTTTCTATCTTCAAATAATTTAAAAAATCTTGCACAATACACTGGCACATTTCTTGTAACTGGAAGCAGAGATGGTTGGATTGTGGGTATCTTAAAATGAACATAACCTTAGGAGTTTAGAGCTGTGGATCCAAGACCGATATCTCCATAGTGGACCAGCCAAGCTTACCAAGGAGGCCAGAGTGAGTTTATATTGCAAGAATTCTTTGAGAGATCTTTTTTCTCACAACTCAACATTTATAATGTCATGTCATACCTGTACACAAGCTGATCTCTCACTGGTAAAAAGATTGCTTGAAAGATGAGAGCTCGGCCCACTACCACTTAGAACAGGGGTGTCAAATTGGCGGCCCTACAGCTTTTGACAAACTACAAGTCCCATGAGGCATTGCAAGATTGACAGTTACAAGCATGACTACCAAAGGCAGAAGAATGATGGGACTTGTAGTTTCGCAACGTCTGGAAAGCTGCCAGTTTGACACCCCTGACTTAGAACCTGTCAGCAATCAGGCTAAGCATCAGGTTGTAAAGTCATTCTTTATTTTGCCTAAATAAATGCTGATAACTCTCACTCAATACAACCTGCTGTGAGGATTGCATGACTTTGTTTACCCTTCTTAGCTACTTAGACAGAGTGTCAGTTATCTGCCTTAGTCTGGAAGAGAATACAAGTGAATAACAGCACACACTTTTGCATTGAGAGGTAAGGTTCTATACCAAGGGTTGAGATTCCTGGCATACAGGCAAGTCAAGCACAACACAATAGCTACACAGAGCATACAGCTTCAAAATAGAGATCAATCACCCTGAAACATAAAATGGTTATTCAAAACATCAACTGAAATGCTTTATCCTAAAAAGCTTATCCTCTGATCCTTCTGTCCCACTAGGACCTTATGGGAAGACCTATGCTTTTAAAGGAGATTATGTTTGGACAATTACAGACTATGGCACCGGTCCTGTTACCAAGATCCAGTCCCTGTGGAAAGGACTTCCAGGAAATCTGGATGCTGCTGTGCATTCCAAACGTACCAAACGCACATATTTCTTTAAAGGTAAGATGCAAAGGCTTCAGCTAAAATTTCCTTGTTGTATTTCCCTTGAAATCCTAAATATATAGCTCTATTCTAGCGTATCCTCTTTTTGTATTTTCAATGTTTTTTATTAACTTTTTAAACATTTTAACAAAGAAGGACTTGAGCAAAAGGTACGCCCATCAAGGGGCTATCAATGGCACATAAAAATAAAAAGAACAATGATATAACACCAACAGTGCAGAGGGCACGCTCACGCAGGGGCTATCAATGGCACATAAAATACAAAACAGTGATATAACACCGACAGAAACACAAGCCAAAGGCAAACATCTGCCACCTCACATAAATTAAGCAAAAATAAAGAGGAAAAAAGAATAAAGAAGGAAGAAGAAGACAAGACCAGAAGCAGGGGTCTGGGAACGCCAATACCAAACAGCATCATAAACCCAAACTAGCGGGGAGGAGCGTGGGAAAAGCATATGTCAACCACGACTCCCATATTTTCAAAATTTTCCGTAGGGAGTCATTGCGGATACTCAACATCTGTTCATTGAGCATCAAAGTGGTCATACGGTCCTGCACCTCCTGAAGAGGGACAAATGTACTTTTCCAGGCCTGAGCAATTGTTCTAGTTACCGACAAGAAAAAATAGGAAGCCAACTTCTGCTGAGGAGCCAACAGGCCCCATATGGCACAATGAAGCAAAGCATACCGAGCTTCCCGGCATATGGAGAGATGGAATAAGGTGTAAAGATGGCCAAATACACGAGACCAAAAACTTATCTCAGGCATAACCACCATATATGCAACACATCTCCACGATGGCCACAACCCCGGAAGCAGCGGTTACTATAGGCATTGTTCGCCTGGGCTATACGAGCTGGGACCCAATACCAATGAAACAGTACTTTGTATGCTGCCTCCAGCGTGGCTGTATAAAATGAACATTTAACTATAAATGACCAGGCCTTATTCCAGTCCTCCAGATCCACGACCGCCCCCAAGTCGCGCTCCCACTCAGCAACATATGATAGAGACGTACACGTTGAGCATCTATTCAAAGATGCATAAAGTAGGGAAACAAGACCCGGGGTGCACGGACGCTGTTGGAAAAGCTGTTCAAAGGCAGATTTTTTGACATGGGAAGGCGGAAGTGCCATGCAGTGAAGTCAGCCAGTGCCTCAATTGAAGGCAATGAAAAAATTCTTCCTGAGGGACATCCTGTGATTCCCGAAGAGAGTTCTAGGTGGGAAGGACCGATAAGTCAAAAAGTGTTGAATCTGTGAAAAACCATTGGCCACCCACCAAGAGTACGCCCCTGGTTGATCTAAACCCAGCGGGAAAAGAGGATTATTGATAATTGGGAGCAAAGATAGAAAGGGTGACATCAAGGCACTGGAGTAGCATACCGAATCCTACACTTGTAGGCCATGGAGCAGAATTGGACTCAATGTCTTCGGGCATAGGGCAGAGGGGAGCCATAAAAACATTGATGTCGCAATGGGGACACAGTTAGGTAGTTCCAAAAGGACCCAGAGAGGAAGAGTGCAACATAGACAGTGGGGCCATCTGGCTCGCCTGATAATACTTAGCTACATTAGGCACCCCAAGACCTTCCTGCAGTCTATGGACAAAAAGCGTATTTCTGGAGACTTTGGGGCGTCTGTCAGCCCAGATAAATCGCATAATCCTCGCCTGAATCAACTGGAGGAAAGGAGGAGGAACCTGCACTGGGAGAGTGCAAAAATAATACAACAATTTAGGCAGGATAGTCATTTTCACAAAGTTAACCCATCCTATCCAGGGCAGGTGCATAAAAAGAGTGCATAAGTGTCAGGACGCGGGTGTTCTGCGGCATCGCGTCGGGCGGCGCATGCGCAGAACACCAGCACTTACCACCAGGCGAGCGATAGGACCTGGGCGCGCACGGCGGCAGCGATGTTCGCGCATGCGCACTCGCGATTGCGGACACGCGCCTGGCACCAATGACAGCGCGAGGCAGGCTATTTAAATGTGGAATCAGGTATGTCAGATTGCCGTTTGGTCTTATTACTTTGTTCCTGATCCTGTGTTCCTGTGTATCCGTTGCCGACCTCTGCTTGTTCCTGATCCTGCTATTCTCCTGATTAACCCCTGGCTTGCCTGACTACTTTTTTGCTTGACCCCTGGTACTGCGCTGCCTGCATCCTGCTGAACCTGGCTTGTGACCTGACCATCCTCTGCTCGCTCCTTCTGTACCTCGCTGCTCGCAAGATACCGACCCGGCCTGTCTGACCACGCATACCTCACCCGACCATCCATCCTGCTCGGATCATATCAGTAGGTCTGTCTGCCTCTTCCAATCAGATTCCGTCCCTGCACTCCCCTGCCAGTACTCTCTACCACCGCCGGACGCACTCGGGGGTCGTGACCTGGTTCCAGTCTGCGCCAAGTCCATCCCCACCATCAGAGGCCCTGGTGAACAGCAGGCTGGGACTTAGACCCCGCGCCCTGAGGAAATCCGTGCAGTGGGCTGCTAGAGACTCTGCCAGGCGGCACCTAACAATAAGAGAGGACACAGAGCGAAGCAATGGATAATAATTCACAGCAAACAAAGAGCCATAGGTAAGGGTCAGGCAGATGGCCAAGAATTTAAGCGAAGAGGAATCCCATTTGTAAGGGAAGTAGGACTGTAGGCGCGAAACCAAATCCGAGGCCAAAGTAATATTGAGAGCGACAGTCTTATCCAAATTAATACACAGACCCGAAATCAAGAAGAAATGTGTAAGAACCTGTTGCAAGTTTGGGAGCGTCGTCAAAGGATTAATGAGAGTCAAGAGGGCATCATCTGCAAAAAGGCTCAACTTAAATTCCTGTCCCGCGTAAGGGACACCTGATACATTACAATCAGCCTGGAGCGCCAAAGCCAGTGGTTCAAGCGCCAGGACAAAGAGCGCCGGGGACAGGGGACATCCCTGTCTCATCTCTCGTCAAGTAGGAAAGGGATCTCAGAAATACCCTGCATACTTAACTGAAGCCGAAGGGGAAGAAAACAAGGCCTGAATCCGAGAAAGGATAGAATCCCCAAAGCCCCAGCACGAACGGCAGGTATTCCCAGGATAGGGAATCAAAAGCTTTGTATATATCGAAAGACAATAAGAATTCCAGAATTTTCCGCTGTTGCAGAAGGTGTATAAGGTGGACTACTTTACAAACATTATCACCCGCCTGCTTCCCAGGGATGAAACCTACTTGGTCCCTGTGGACTAAACTACGCAAGTATTATTGATACAAAGACTGAGAATCTTGCCCAATATCTTCAAATCCTCATTAAGAAGAGAGATGGGCTGAAAGGATTGCGGTTCCTGCACGCCTTCTGTTGTCTTAGGAATCATTGAGATATGAGCTCTAAGCACGTCCAGAAAGGGCACAGAACCATGTCGCAATTCACTGAAGTAACCAGCCAAAAAGGGCACCAACAGGGTTGCAAATTTCTTGTAATAGAGACCTGAAAAGCCGTCAGGACCCGGGGCCGTGGTAGACCGTAAAGATTTGATAGCTTGAAGTACTTCCAATACGGTTACACCTACATTAAGGGCTACCCACGCCGCTTCAGACAAGCCAGGGAGTTGTAGATCTTGTAGGAACACTTCCACCTGAGCTACAGGAAAGGGATCTAGTTTGGCGAACAGGTGTGAAAGGAAGTCCGCGAAACGCGAGACGATCTACTGGAGATTGGAAGTGCAGCCCCCCGCAGAGAGCTGCAACTGGTCTGGTTTGTGGGGTTTCCCCACAGAATTGAGTTTCCTAGCCAGCATTGGACCCGGTTTATTAGTACAGGTATAAAATTTATGTTTGGTCCAATGCAAGGCCCGTTCAGCCTCTGAACATGCAACTAAGTCCAATTCTGCAGCCAGGGTGTCTCGCCTTTGTTTATGGGCCGCAGACGGGTGCGACTTCCAATGAGCATCCACAGAGGCCAGCAGAGCGTGAAGGTCCAAAAGACGATGCTCCCGCACTGCAGCCAGCTATATCATGTGGTCCCGCACCGTAGCTTTATGGGCCTCCCATAGGGGTACTGCTGAAGAAACAGATTCCGAGTTCTCCATAAAATATGTTCGTATGAAAGATAAAATTTGCTGGCAGGTGACCTGAGTAGCCAATAAAGACTCGTTAATGTGCCAGTAAAAAGGGCGCCGTGCCAACCCTGAAAGTGAACCAGGGGATCTGGTCTTACCAGGGCGAGGAAGGGATAGATATCTGCTTGACTAAAGGAAGCTGATGGACAAGCATAAATACGTGGTCGATTCTGCAGAAACTGTTATGAGGATTTGAGTAGAACGTGAAGTCATGCTTAGTTGGGTGAAGTTCCCTTCCAGTTCCGCAGACTGCGAGTGAGTGCATACGTTCTCCCTGCACTAAGTCATGAGAAGGGGCCGCCCCCTGGGCATAGCACCTATCTAGAGCGGAATTCAAGGTAACATCTGAATCCCCCAAAAGAAGAAGGCCCTTGGAGTGTCGGGAAATGACGGTACAAAGATGGGAGAAAAATTTGTGCTGCAAGCGATTGGGGGTATAATAAGAAACAAAAGTGACCTGATCCCAGAGGGTACCCTGCAGGAGCAAGTACCTGCCCATGGAGTCCACTATATTCCAAGTACAGGTGAAAGGAAGATTGCGTTTGAAGGCTATCAGAACACCCCATCGTGATAATGTGGCGAAAGATACCGTGGGGCGGAGGACTGGGCAACCCTGGTTTCCTACAAGCATACCACGTCAATTTGAGGTGAGGTGATGAAAAACTTTAGACCACTTCTGAGGCGAAGTAAAGCCTTATATATTTTGTGAATGTACTTTCAAAAGAGGTGAAGCCATGGCGGGATTGGCATAATCCGCTCAGCAGAAAAGGCATAAGTCGGCCAACAATTTCCACTCCCAAGGACAGCCGGTGCATGGCATCCCAAAACCCTGAATAAAACAAGAACAGAAAAACCAGAAAAGAAGAGATAAAAAAGACACAGAGAGTATGTACAATGACATAGCTGTATCACACCTATGGTGAAATGTATCCTACACTCAGAGGATACCAGTTTGGGGTGACTACCATCGAACAAATGGCTGCAAATGGATACATCAAAAACATAGGACCCCAGGGGGCAAAAAGGAAACAGACATAACATAACGTAGTCCCATATTAGTAGATATACGAGTCCCCAGGAAGTGGGTCACACCCGTGGAACCCTTTCTTGTAGGAAACCCAGCTAGGCTTTAGGAGCCCAACATCCTCTGCAACGAAACCCAAACAACACAACCCAGATGGTCCCCTACCCCAGCGGCAAAAAGTCAAAGACCTCAAGTCCAGGAGGTGACCCCCCAACTGAAAGAAGGAATCCCAAGGGAGGCAGCCGAGCAGGGCCCAATCATATAACACTATCAATACTGGAAATGCCTAAAAGGCTAAACTCACGGTCCTGGCAACAGGATTCAACAGTAAAGCACAATGGAGGAAGTCCTGGATGCAACTTCTGTCTGGGGAAGAGCAAGTTGGACTTGGTCTTAGAGGGGTCCGAGGGAGGGCCCTCTTTCAACTGGATGCCTTCACCCAGAGGCGGACCAGAGGAAGTGGCCCCACCGGGGATCCAGATTAATGTGCCGATCTCTGCGCAGCGCCTCCTGGCGGGATAAGGTGAAAGGATTCCAGGAGAGAGTAGGCCTCCTCCGGCGTGGCAACAGAGTGGCTATAGCCCTGGTAGTCGAAGGTGAGGCGGAACGGAAAGCCCCGTGAGTACTTAATTCTGCGATTCACCAGGACCGAGGTGAAAGACTTCAACTGGCAGTGCTTCTGAAGAGTGATCTGGGAGAGGTCCAAGAAGAGCTGGTAGCGATGCCCCTGGAAACTGCCCCGGTTTGTTCCTGGCCACCAAGAGAATGGTTTCCTTAGTGCGATAATAGGTAAATTTGATGATAATGTAGTGTTGGTGGTCAAATTCACATCGGTCAATGGGAATGGTGGGAGCTAGCTCCTGAAACAGGGCAGTAGCGCTTGAGGTAACGGTTTCCGGAATGCTCCGTAAGTTGCCGCGGCGGGAACAGTTTTCGAAATCTTCAAGCCAGAGTAGAGTTCTTTCAAGCCAGTTCTTTCTTAAGGTTGCACAGATCCTGCTCATGGTTTTCAATGACCATGACCACAGCGTCCATTTTATTCTCAAGATCATTTGGCCGATTGCCCTGCTCCCTGATTTTTCTGGAGAGACATTCTGCCAGCCTGGAAGTAGCGGAGGGCAATTCTGTCTGCAGCATAGACTTGAAGTGATCCAGGAGCTCAGCATCCCGCAGAGCCGCTGCGGGGGACTGCAGGGGTGCCTGACGCAGTGTCTGTTTCATCGGCAGGATCCGGTTCACCCACGAGTAAAGGCGGCGGCGGGTCCGAAATCAAGGCTGGGGCTTCTGATGCGGCCTCCGGCAGGCAGGTCGCAGGTTCCGCCATGGCCTGTCGAGCGCTGGAGGCGTGGCTGGCCTCCGTTTTTTTCCCCATCAGGGTGGGTGGGTGGCAGCGATCTGGGGGGCTTGGTGGGCAAATGTCTGTCCCCCTGGGTGAGGAGTACGCCTACTGAGCAGCCATCTTGGATGCTGCTCATGAGCGCCCCCCCCAGAGTATCCTCTTTTTAAACATATTTCCTAGTCTCTAGCAGCTCCGAGATAAAGCATGTTCTCTGCCAACTAGAAGGATCTGAACCAGTTCATTCAGCTAATGATCTTCCCAATGCCCAATGAATCTTAAAGGATAAGTTCACTTTTAAAAATAAATAAATGCCCTTTTTTTTCAGGTAAAAAAATGTTAATTTACAGGTTTTTGGTTTTTTTTTGTACTGGAAAGCATTGCACCAGCAATCAGCAGATCTCTGGTGCTATGCAGGACTCCTGCAAACCTGTCAGTGGCTGTCAGGACTTGTAGTTCATTCATCACAAAACTCTGTGAGTAAATGACGTGGCGATTTTGGCGGAACACCGCTAAGCCATGCTGTTTTCAAAAACTGACAGCTATGGGAAACTTCTCGCCGTAATGCTTTCACAGGGAGAGAAGGCAGTGGACAGCGGCTGCAGCTGTGGGAACATTGCAACCAATTGAAAAGCTTTTTTTTTTTTTATTAGCAATGACTCCTATTTTACTGCCTAAAGCTGACCATGCATGGATTGAAATTCAGCCAGTTCAGGAGGGAGTGGCCGAATTGTGATCCCTGTATGGCTGTCCCCGTTGAACAGAAATCAATTCTTAGATTGATTTCTGTCAAAAAGGAATGTTATAAAACCTTTGTCAGTCAGCAGCTGCAGCCAATCGCTGTCAGAATACAATGTCTTAGATGAGACGATTTCCCCGTTTACCTGGTTGTGTGGATGGAGGAATCCGTTCCTTTTTTTTTTTTTTTTTTTTTGTTCAGCCCGTTGGCCGATAGAAAAAAAAGCAAAAAGCAATGAATAACCTATTGCCAGTTTAAAACCTGGCACTATAAGATGCTTTATTTTACTGTAAAATCAGTTTCCTAATGAGGCCTCCTATTTAGAATAGTCAAAGTCTAACTACCGAGGTGGAAAAAATCTCAACCTTCTGCTCTCTGTTCCTAGCATAAATGTTTCATTTCAGATGAATCCAGATACATTTAATAACAGAAGGTTTTTTTCCCTTGTAGCAGTGGTGTGACACGGCTTCTAGTTGTTAATATATGTAGTCACAAATCAAATGGCATTCTATCTGATCTGTGCTATATACCGCAATGTTGGTCCACTCTGCAGTGTGCATTTTATAGACAATTATAGAATAAAATGCACATCACACTGTTGAGCCTGTAGTGGTCAGTGAAGTCCATGGAGCACAGGCCATACCACCGTCTTGTAAATGTGGCCTTCAGATTTCTAAGCTGGCCACACACTTGGTTAGATTTACCAGCAACAATGTAGTGTGAGGGTCTATCTAAACAATCTTGTCAATAAATACCATTCAGGTAAGCCTGTACAAAACACAGTTGGTGGTAAATCCAAAGGAAATTGTGGTTTGACAAAAGAAAATTCCATGAAAGCTGAAATGGATATTTATCTCTGTAGTCTAATTTTCTCCTGACCCTCAGTAAAACTTTGATAGCATGCTATAGACTTTTCTGGAGTGATGGTTTAGAAATGATTCACCTTTAATACTAGTTCATGTCAGGATCTAACCATTGGTTGTATATGATCTTTTTCAGGTGACAAATTTTGGAGATACACAGATTTTAAACTGAACTACGGATACCCTAAAGCGCTAACTCGCGTACCCCCGAATATTAGTGCAGCCTTATTCTGGGAAGGAAACCAAAAGATATTCCTGTTTAAGGTAAACAATGATTCCAAGCAATTCACTGGAACCCAGCTTGCAATGATATTTGTACAGTACCTATTCACATTTCAGAGTGGTGCTAAAAGGTTAAGTTAACCTTTACGAACACGTTAAGCACATGTTTAGGGTGTAACATGTTGCTAAGCACTCAGCTCACCCTCCTTCCCCATGACAGTGTGCAGGGGTTCTTCTCCCCTGCAGCTGCTGTCACTTTTGAAATCAGTGCAGCTGTGCGGGGCTCCACCCACACAGCTGTGCTATTCATTCATAGAGATTTGTGAATGAATAAACTACCAAAACAGCAGATGGATTTGCAGTTCTCAATGGACTACATGTACAGTAATCAAAGCACTCTTAGTCCATTGACACTTCCTCCAATGAAAGCCCATACAAGCTGGAGGAAGAGATTGCAGGAAGTGGATATTGTACTCGCAATCCACTGATTGTGGGTGCAATGGTTTTGCATGCTACCGAGGGAAAAAAAAAATAAATTTTTTTTCCTGCAAAAATATGTTCATGCATTTTTTTTCTCATAAAGATGAATTTAGACTCTAATACACCATTCAGGAATACCAATTCAACGCCTTTAAGCTCCGAAGGGGTTCTCATCTCCCTCTCATTTTACTCTCAGCAGCTGGCTGGTTTCTTTCTGTTCCAGAACTTGCTGCATTCCCAGAACCATGACGCTAAGCAGAGGTTTTCTAATTTAAATAGTTTCTATGAAATGTTTATCATTAGTAATAACAAAGATAGCAAGAATGTTATATTCTCAGAATGAGTGTATGTATGTATGTGAATGAGCTAGATGATTACCACTGCTATAGTCTCTTTTCTGGGACATGTCAGAATAATAAACACGTGGTTCAATAACTATGAGAACCATAGGCACATGGCACACAAACAAGGAAGATAATTCTGTGTAATTAATGAATTTGGCTCCCCCTATAGTCCTGCACAGCCTGTCATTCAGCATTTTCCAAACAAACTTTCATTCGGAGACATACAGTATACCAGTCTTTGAGCTTTGGTTTTGGTATTTATTGAGGGGATTAGAACTTTGATAAGGTAAGGGGGATTTGGATGCCCAAGGGAACCGAAGTCTGAGGTCAGCTTCTTGAACTATTCACAAGCTCCTGCTATCCAGCAAACACAGTCTCTAGGGGAGTGCTAGCCAGCAGCTCCTAGTTGAACCACCCCAGACCCTAGATGAACTTCTCTTCACCCAGCAATCTGGAGACTCTCTTCCTGAGCAGAGGATCTGGATCCTGTGTTCCTTTAAATGGTGAATAGTCACTAGTAGATGACTAATCTGGTTTCCCACCAGAGTGCTCCTTCCCCTATCCACCCAGGGGGTGCAGGTGTACTTATTCAGATCCTCTCCTGTACCGCTTGTGGGTTGGCTGCTGCTACCAGGTCTATCAGCTGGGCTGCTCCATCCCTGCCATACAGGTGGTCCTCTCTCAGGGGGCCAATGAGTCCCGAGCTTTCCTCCTCTCTGACTCCAGGCTCGCAAGCAGGCCCCATCTCTGTAGGCCTCCTGGCAGCCTTCCTCCTCCAGCCTCACATCTTCCTGCTCCACACTCCTCTCCCACCACCACTCCTGCTGCTGAACAGGCTCTTACACTTTTAAGGGAGTCCCAGACCCTTGCCAAGCCATCTGTTGGGGATTGGCTGAGGTCCCTCAAGAGTGCAGCCAGCCACTCCTCAGATTCACCCACTGCCTCTAAGACCCTCCTCCGAAAGCCTCAGAACAGAGGGAAATTTCAGAGGAGCTGGCCTGCAGAGTCTCTCAGCCCTGACAAGAATTTGACCCCTCTGGCTCTCCCACCTGAGCTGCTAACCAGCTCCTGACTAACCATTAGGATCTAACTCCCCCAAACTAACCTAGGGGGGTGCTACATTAGTTTCAAAATAGGAAGCTGGGTAGCCGCACATTGTAACAAGAATGTCCTATAATTTATTTGACCAAATGATCCAGATAAAAACATCACAACACCATAGCCAGAAAGATATGTATGGTGAACCTGCATATCTCCTTGGCTAGGGTGCTGTTATGTTTTTATCTGGAACATCTGGTTAAATAAAATATTGGACTTTCTTACTACAATGTGTGGCTACCCACCTTTCTATTTTGAAGCTTCCCTCAGTTGCACCTCTATGCAAGTCATCTGATGGGGTAAATTGGGTGGACCGACCTAGAGTGGTGAATTGTATAGGAAAAAACAACCCCCCTAAGTGGGACTTTATAAGCATCACCAGAGTGTATAAAAGGTGCATCAATTTTTATTAGACATAGATGAGTGAGAGCCATAAAATATTAAATAGGCAGTTTTACATTCAATGATTACAATGATACCATACAAAATTATGTCGACATAACAGAGTTCCTGGGACATAATTTTGTAACATTTTGCCTTCAGTTACAGTATACAGGTAAAAGCACAGAAACACAGAAAAAAGGTACAATGCTTACTTGCAGTCTTTTCCTTTCCATTAATTATTTTTATTCACTAGCAATGTTCCTTGCTTTCTATGAAAAATGTGACTACTCCAAGAAGAGCCAGTTGCCTAGTACAACCCCCTCCCTCCTTGCACATCAAAGCCCTCTCCTCTTCTGAAAGTGTCTGTGCTGGTCCGGCTCCTCCACCCCTTCCATTTTATATAGCAGGGGAGGAAATGAAGGGGAATGCTGTAGAGAATCATTTTAGTGCTTTAGTTTAGCTCTGAGTCTGCTGCTGACATCACATTCAAGATGGCGATCCCCAGCAGCAGTCTCAGGGCTTTTTGATGTCTACACAACGCAAGCTTTTACAGGTATATATGATGCATAAACTATGTTACATTCTCATATAATTTTCTAAGAAGATTTTGTTGGAATGAATGGTCTGGTGACAAGTCTCTTTAGTTTTATACTGAAAATGTCTTCAAGTAAAGAACCTTAAGGTGACTTTGTTTTTAAGGGTGACGATTACTGGCAATGGGATGAGCTGGCCTGGAGTATATTACAGCCCAAGAAAATCTCCAGTCTGTTTACTGGGGTTCCTGGAAAACTGGATGCAGCTCTTACTTGGAAGAACAGCAAGATCTATTTCTTTAAAGGAGACAAGTATTGGCGGGTAAACAAGCAGTTACGCGTGGATCGCGGATACCCACTGAGCAAGGCAGAACGCTGGATGCAGTGCATCCATCTAGACTGATGACACTGTTATACGTTTACCCTACCAGAGCACATCTATACCTATAATAGACTGAAGATCAATTGGTAAAAATGTTCTCTGTACACTGACCACTGCTGCGTTCTTAGGTGTGTTCACCTGTCAGGACAACATTCAGCAGCACTACTTCATTATTTGCCATTATTTATTGCTGGTGTCTTTGGATGGATGCACAAAACCTGAAAAGGAAGGCAGTGACAGATTCACATATTTCATTTATTGCTTTGTGCAACTGCTGTCTTAATATGTGAACTTCATGCCAACAAAAGCAATCTATAGAAAGTTCAACTGCTGTTCCTTGATAGCTTGGACATTTATATAATTCTAAAATCTATATAATAGAATTTACAGATATTTCTACCCAAAACAGCACCACCTATGACTGAATATTTGTACTGCACTATGCAACCAAAAAATATATTCTTCCTCTTTTGTAATGATCCAAAGAAGCATTTTCTATAGAAGGGTGAAATTTTTTTGCCAATGAAATATCAATTCCAATCGTTATTCTTATTTTTAAAGCTAGTCTGGGGTATTTCTGTACTCATGTTCACTATATTGTTATTATGGTTAAAAATAATACAGGAAAATCTATTTCTTAGATAGGCTTTCATCATTAAAACAGGCACCAAAAATATGATCTTGATATACTTTAGCACTTAGGAAGCCTTTATCAAGCTAAGCGTACTTCTATACTAACTGGTATAATGAGGTAACCTAGATTAGTTATACGTCTAGATAAATATGAACTTTACATCCAATACTTTGGACTGCATTCCGCTGTGAAATATTATGCAGGCATGTATGTGGGATAATAGCAGTGGATAATGTATAAACTGTATGCATCTGGATTTAGAAGGTTGATACATGAACCTGCTATGACATTTGAGACCTTGCAGTGTCACCTGCTGGCAGGTGATGAAATTTAACTCCAAGCAATAAAATATTTTGTAGAAATATTTGTTTTGTAAAATTGTATTTCTGTATCAAGAAAACTGGGGCAAAAACATCATATGTTTCATAAATATTTGAGTACATTATTTAATATTTTGCAGGAAATTTTTTTTTTGCATCTGTATCATTTAGTTCAGTGTCCATCAAGAAAAAAAAAAAAGTGTATATAAACCCATCTACATCCCTTTAGCCATATTGATTGTGGTAAATCACACTAAATTCAACCATATATTGCAGCAATCCAAATATTAGAAATACATTTTTTTAAATCTATTTAGTTTAGTCACGTGATCTCTCTCCTTAGTCTCTGCACTGCAAAGTCTGAACTGTGGGCGGAGTTAAGGCCCAACCCATCATGTGTCTTTACTCACATCGTTACTGTGTACTGCTATATTCTGCCTTGGGCTGTCAATCACTCAGCTGGATCTGTCCCGCCATGAGGCACAGAGCATCATTTGTCTTGTTGGATCCACCTGAGCATGTGCAAATGGTTGGCAGTCAGCAGAGGGCGGATCAGCCAGAAAAACATTGCCACTGGGATTGAGAAAGTCCTAGTAACTAGAAGGATCACCACAATTTCACAAGAACAGTGGCAGCACAGTGGCAAAATGGTTAGCACTTCTGCCTGGCAGTACTAGGGTCATTGGTTCAAACCCCAGCCACGGCACCACCTGCCTGGAGTTTGCATGTTCTCCCTGTGCCTGCGTGGATTTCCTCTGAGTTTCCTCCCACACTCCAAAGACATGCTGGTAGGTTAATTGAATCCTGTCTAAATTGGCCCTAGTATGTATGAATGTTAGGGACCTTAGATTGTATACCCCTTGAAGGTTAGGGACTGATGTGAATGTACAATATACATGTAAAGCGCTGTGTAAATTGACAGCGCTATATAAGTACCTTAAATAAATTGAAGGAGAAATCATAAACACACAAATTTGTTTTTGGTAGAAAATTTGCATTTTGGGTTTAAGGACACCTTAAAGTGTTACTAAACCCCAAACCCTGCATCCACTATATCTGGTCTCCCACAGTACACACAACATGGAAATCCAATTATTTTAGTAAATATAAACTGCTAAATACCTTTTTCTCATCACCAGTATATAGCAGTCTTGTGACTTCTGTCAGTGTTCAGCAGAACACTGGTTAAAGCTTGTAGGAGGAATTTTCTTTCTGCTCTAGGAGGATGTGAAAGTCCTGACCCTCTGTCTGGATAGTGCTGATTGGCCCTGTGCTGATCACATGCACTCTCCCCAAAAAAAAAAACCCTCTAGCAATACACACCAAACTGAGCAAGTGCATGTGACTACGGATTCAGTCTGTGTCAGGTGGTCATTTCAACAAGAGGAGAAGCAGTGAAGAGAGTTTCAAACAGCCTTTTTACACAATGCAGAGGATTAGCCCCTTATGTTCCACAGTGAGTATAACAAGAATGATTTACTGCATATACAGACTGATTTCACTGTTGTAGGTTTAGTAACACTTTAACTACATATTAATATATAGTATCAGGGAAGGACTAGGAACATTTGACCTCAGGGGTAGCAGATACAACCAAAAGGGACTTTCATAGTAGAGGCAAACTTAAAAGTGCTGAAGAAAATGTTCCATGCAAAATGTGCCTTGGTGCTGCAATGATTGCTGGGCATGGGGAAAGGTGGGTGTTCCTAAAGAATATGGTGTATTATGATACACCTTTTAACATCTTCCAGAATCCACTTCCTTAGCTGTCGGCATTTGGTCACTGGACATCAGCCTTATAGGAAATTGGTACTGGAAGACTTGCCTCTGGCAGACGCTGTGATCACAAGTCTGAATGGGAAGCAGATATCACAACCAGCATCTGTCACTGACTGCACCTCACACTCCACATGATAACTGAATGGCAAATGCCCCCCAGCTGTTCTTCCTTGTATAGCATACAGTACATCAAACTACTAACTGAATATCACAGACAAAAGAAAATGGCATCAGCATGTACTAAAAGAAAGCTATGTAATTCTTGTAGATCCCCACCTATATACACAATTGGGGACAGTCCTTTCTGCTGAAGAGATTGATCAGCTAGGTTTCTTTTTCCTATCAGTCCTCCATATGAACCCGTTATTAGGAGACGTACAATTGCAAGCTTGCTGCTGAGTCTATGTGTTCTTCATAAATATCCTTTTCACATTTGCCTGTTTTTCCTTACCATCAGTTCTTAAAAATAGCCTGTTTATTATAGATCTCAATAGCTCAAGCTGAAGCATATTTACACAAGTGAATGAGTCAGAGGAATGACTCACCTCTTATTGGACAACTCAAAGGTTTAATCCAAAGAAACCCAGCCTCAAGACAAGCAAGTACTTCTGTGTGGTTTAGCTAACCTGTAACACTGGTAATCAATTATCATGTAATGTTTATTTGTAAAAACGAATGACAGATACTTACCGTAATTTTCCTTTCCTGACAAGCTCCATGTCAGCACAGCTGGGTAAGGGCCCTGCCCCCCCATGCTTCCAGGACCTAACTCATACATTTGAGCCCACCTGTAGCCTCAGCGTTCTGTAACTGTTCCTACCAAGCTGGTTGGGAATTGTGCCGAAATGGAGCTTGTCAGGAAAGGAAAATTATAGTAAGTATTTGTCATTCAATTTTCTCTTTTCCTGACAGCTCCACATCAGCACAGCTGGGAACTAACTAGCCACACAGAAAGCTTCAAATCAGAAGGAGAGGCAAAAAGGCATAAGATGTCCTGGAGATCCACTCTGTGATAAGCACCGTGACTTGGGCCTACTCTAGAATCTGATAAACCTTCGTCAGGAGGGAGCAACTGAGTGCCTCCTTGTTTCCGGATGTAGGCTAGTCTTTGTGCTGTCTAACTTCAGCAGAACAGGTCCACCCTGGATAAAGTGACTGAAGGCTAAGAGCCTGAAATTCCATTCTTAACTCCAGAATGTTGGACACCAGCTTTGACCCTTGAAAAAGGCCATTGGTCCTCAGCCCATTGCTCCTGAATTAGGGCCCTCCAACTACTTTGCTGGTGTCTGACTGCACCACAAGCCACTAGGCATCAGATGGGAATGACATTGCAGAAGATCCTACTTCTCTAACCACAAGTTTAGGCTCACTTTCATACAGGGCGTAATCCATATCTTCTGACTTAGGCACTCTGACTGCTACCAGTCTAGAATACCAACTTGAAAGGGGGTGAGAGTTCAACTGAACTTACCTGACCTGCTGGAACGAGGCAATTTATGTGGCCCAATCTGAGACGTGAAGGATGAAATATCTCCCAAATATGACCTGAAATGCTTGCCTTGAAGGACCATGTGTCCATCACCAAGTGCACATAAGACATGTATGGATGGCGCAATCCACAAAATACCAGAAAGCATCCTGACATGAAGCTGTTCTCTGACTTCTTGGATTATGTGCTGACTTTTTCTTTGACTCCCAGCCAAAAATGCAGAAGCCACCGTCTCTGGAGTGAACATGGAAGCTGACTCTTGAACTTCAGTCACTTAACAGAGGTTTATCTTGAGGCAGGAAGTCAAACTGACCACTATTAATTTAAGCTTCACCTTCTAAGATCAAGAACAATGCAGTGATTGAGTACGTCCTTAAAGGCCACAGCATCTTCTAATGGGAAGGTCGTGTATGTGGCCAATCCTATAGGGCACACACCAACCCAAGGGGTGATTCAAAACCCTTGACATTCTGCTGTGACAACATGCCTCAATCTTTTAGAACAAGCACTTGACTCAGTCACCATAAGGGATTTGTCAAGCCTGGACACAGGTCATTCTAATCTTGTTCAGAAGGGACTGAAGAGGATTGACTGGCTTGAGAAGACTCAGAGACCAGTTATAATGGCCCTAAAAGGAAGAGTGGACCTTGGCAGAATAGATGGACCTGGCAGAAAGTGAATTCAGCAATTCCTTTAGAGTGTCTTCACCACATGCTTAATTAATTGTGACAACTTGGTCACCATCATCTTAATCATTGTATACTTGAACAAAGCAGGAATCAGACAGTCGTGTTCATCC